TGTGTTTCGGTACGATATCAAAAGAATATAGGAAACGAATACCATGTATAGAAACACTTTATTGGAGAAAACCAATATTTCGACCTATTCACTGGTCTTTATCAAGGTACATGAAAAAATTGGCAAAAAGTGGACACACATAACCACTGTAGTGAGAGGAGTTAAAGAATAACAATGCGGATTATAATGAGAGTAATTAAAATCGGGTAGGCCTATACATTGATAGTAATAAACAGTTTGCAATGAGAACGGAGATTAATAGTCGTTCCCACATTATGCGGACAGTATAATAAACAGACTTTAGTATATTGACCAAAATTCCAAATAAAAACAGGAAATAGAGAAACATAGCATAACATTTAGGCCACAATGGACGCAAGTATAAAATATGTAAAATAATAAATAAATAATGTCAAGAGCGAGGTAAATAAATAAAAAAGTAAAAAAAATCAATGTTATGAAAAAGTAGAATAAAAATGAGTGTAGCATAGCTACATCAAGAAGATAGGAAATAAGTAAACAATACGTTATAATAAAACCCGTAGATATAAAACTACACGAATGAATAAAATAAAAAAGAATAAAAATATGACTAGGTCAAAATCGCAAATAGGAATGAGTGATCAAAAGCAAAAACCAGATAATAACAATGAAAATCAAACAGCCGGGATATGACAAAAATAAACAGCATGTAGAGAAGTTTGGAGATACTTTAACAAAAACTATATTCTGATGACATATCAATTTACACTTTCAGACTTGATTAACCAAACCCAGGCAGCATGGTGATGCCTGAAGGCATGTTTATATTTTGAAAATAACAGTCAACAATTAAAAAAAAATCAGTTATTCGCATTAAAAAAAATTACCGTGTATACGATAAAAAATATTTTAATAAATCAAGTCAAATTCCTAATAATAATAATAATAATAATAATAATAATAATGATAATAATGAAAAACGATAAAATATAAAAATATTTTTTATCGTTAATCGTTATCGTTTTAGTATAACTAGGCATTTATTTACTCAAAAAAATTTAGTACCACTGAGGATTAACATCCATTCAAATTATTAGTGCCCCTTTTTATACCCTAGCGTTGCCTTTAAGTAACCTAATTAGGACCATCCAGGCATCCCTGTGCAATTTGGGCTTGTTCAAACCATTTTTAAAATCTGACCTTTAACATTTTATATCAAGTCTCAACATTTTCAAAAAGCCAATCATTTTTAAAAAGATTTTCCTTTCATGACCTTTGACCTTCAACTTCAGAAAAAATATTTACTAATACTTACAATGTCACAGGGACTATCCCTGTCCAATTTGGGCTTGTTGAGACATTTTTTTAAATCTGACCTTTAACCTCTATATAAAAAAATATAAAATTTTAAAAATGCCACAACCATTATAAAATATGAAATTTGTTTTTTAATGTACATAAGGTTTCGGCTCGGAGACTACTATATATTGTACATTGTTACATTAGTGGTTAAATTGTTGTTACATTAGTGGTTAATTATTTTTGTTACAACAGTTGTTAAATCGTTGTTACGATAGTGGTTAATGAATTATTACAACAGTGGTTGATTTTTGTTACAATAGTGGTTAATGTTACATTAGTGGTTGATTTTTGTTACAACAGTGGTTAATGTTACATTAGTGGTTGATCGTTACATTAGTGGGTGATACATCAGGAAGCTCTCAACGAAAGCGGGTTACAATCCGACATTCACAACGCGCAACCCAACGACAAGAAGAAAAAAAATGGTTCAATCCATCTTACAGCCAGTGGCGTATCTAAAAGTCTTAAAATGGGGGTGCTGATGGGAGGGGGCGAAGGTGAAGTGGGGAACTCGATGATTAGTTGACGGGCGCTATCTCGCAATATAAGGTGATTTTAGGTGGTTTTTTTCGGGGGCGACTTGGTGGGCGCGAGTAGTTTTGGAGGGACGTGGGAGCCCCCCCCCTGCACCCCCTAGATACGCCACTGCTTAAAGGTATTTCTTGAAATTGTAGATGAATGCTTTCTACATGATCATGTTCTACGAAAAATGTTTAATAGGAACACTATCAAGATCAGTTATAGCTGTATACCCAACATTTGATCGATAATATCCGCTCACAACAAAAATGTATTAAATAAGAACGACAAGGATAAACACTTAGATGACATCAAACCATGGACCTATTAATAAGTCCATGATCGAACAGGTCCATGATCAAACAATGTAATTCCCGTAATTAATGTCCTTTGTCTGGTAATGTTTAGCCAGTGGTGTAGTTTATCAGGCTACTATCACAAGGGATGACAACAATAAGGTTGAGACGTAAGTCGGACTCGCCGAAAATACTTTTAAAAGTAGGTATAATGGCATACTAGTTCATCCCGCAATGTTAAATTATAGAAACAGTACCACGCTTAGACAATATGTTTGGAAGCATAATGTGAAATGTAAAACATAAAATACAATGGCGAATATTATCTAAATGCAAACTAAACTCTAATGTTTATAAGCGATGCAACCTATGTCTGCAGGAGAATTATCACATCATACGCAACCCGGAAGCTGGTAAATAATAATAAAGCTAGTAAATAATAATGAAATAATGTCAGTAGGAAAAACTATCTGTAAGAACCAATAACATTTCTTCTAACAACAAAGAAATGATCCATTTTAGAATAGGGGTGTTGGTTAAGACATAGACAGGAGCTATTACACACCCAGCTAATCCTACACATATGGTAATTCTTGGTGTTCATAGAATGATTAACAAAGTATCAGTTATTTCTTCATTGTATTAACTAGGCTAATTATTTATTAGGTTGTATTTTACTAAGTTTACCATCGAGCATCACCATTTCTGTTTGTTGTACTGTATTTCTGTTTGTTATTAAGGATGGCTACCAGAAGGAGCTGCTTTTTGATTGATCTCTACTTTTACTTGTTTGTTTGCAATTTAACACACAAACTTACTTTCAATAGCTGCATCTATCAACCTAAACCGAATGTTAGTGTTGTTCACTGTACAGGAAGTCGTAGTATTGTGTTGTTTGAAGGATATTTACCTCAATATATCAGCTATTTTCTAGGCCCAACAGTAGATTACTACACGTTCCACACAATACCTACCAACGATGACCAGCCGTGTGGATATTGGTCAAGCTTCATTAATTTGCTGGCTTTCAACAGAAATTCCAAGCACGTGCGGAGGGATATTTGGTCAATCAAGTACATTGGAGGTAGGGTTCCACACTACACAGCTAGATCGTGTGTCGCAACATTCCAGCCAACTCTTGCTAAATGCGGAGACATTGAAGTCAACCCTGGGCCAATGGCCAAATCAAACAGACACGACTCTAACTCTATTAGATCATCCACACAAGGTAACCCAAATAACACACCCAAGTTCTACTATCAGAATATCAGAAGCATAAAAAATAAATTGGACGTATATAACTCAGAATTACAAGGTCATCTTTTAAGTAGTTCATTCGATTTTGTTTGTTTCTCTGAAACATGACTAAATGCGTATGTGTCCGATGCAGAACTGCACTGTCCTGGATTTACTATTTATAGGAAGGACAGAAATGATGGAAGAAGGGGTGGTGGTGTCATGTTGCTGGCATCTAATACTTTTAAATCAAGAAGAATGGTTCAGCTTGAACACCCTGACGTTGAACTTTTATGGGTTGAAGTAAAAATAAGTAGAAGTAAGACGGTTCTCATAGGAGTTGTCTAAGAGCACCGATTTGTGGACGGGAAAGCATATTAAAAATAGCTCAATCTATTGAAGATGCAACAGCTGTCTACCCTCGTCATCAAGTAATTCTGGTTGGCGATGTAAACCTTCCCAATATCGTATGGAAAAATGATGGCACTGGGTTAGCACCCACCAACTCTATTGACGAACTCTTTTTAGATAGTTTAATTTCTAGTCTTAATTTATTTCAATGTAATATGAACCCTACGTGCAATAATAACATTCTTGATTTAATTTTATGTAGCTCAATTGAACTTATTACCGACATCGTTATTGGTCGAGATATCTTCCAGTCTGATCATTCTTCTATTGATTTTTTTTTTTATTTTCGGACAACTAATTTTTGTTATAATAAATGTAGAAAATCATATAATTTCAAAGCAATTAACGACAAAGACCTTATTAGTCTGTTTGAAAACATTCCTTTTGACATTATTGTTCCCATTTATGATGTTAATGAAAGTTTAACTCTATTTTATGATCTAATTGACGACGCACTCCGTGACCTTGTCCCCATTAAGACATTCAGGCGCAAAATGCCGCCTTGGTTCGACCATGAAGTTAGAGCCGTGTTGAGGCGGAAGGAACATTTTTTTCGAATGTGGAAAAAATATGAACTAATACAGTATAAAAACGAATTTAATACAGCCAGGAAACAATTTAAAACTTTGGCAAAAAAGAAATATTCTCTTTATATTCGTACCTTGTCCGACAACGTAAAAACAAATCCAAAACGTTTCTGGACTTGGATGAAGACAAAAACCAAGTCGTCCTCTTATCCTTCTGTAATGACTTACGGGGACAAGGTCGCGGAAAACGCTAAGGACAAAGCCGTCTTGTTTAACTCTTTTTTTCATTCTTTTTTTCAAAAGGATTTGTCAATAACTGACTAGCATTTAGCTCTCCCTGAAGCTTCACTAGATATATTGGCATTGCCAGTTATTCAGCCTGAATCAGTTTATAAAGCGCTTTCTTCTGTAATAACTTATAAAGCATCTGGGTGCGAACTGAGTAATCATGTTTTAAAGGTGTGTGCCAAGCCTCTTTCAGTTCCTGTCTGCTGGAAAGTTTCCCTCTATCTGGAAACAATCCAACATAGTTCCAATTTACAAATCAGGTTCAAAGAAGTCAGTAACTAACTATAGACCTATTTCTCTGCTGCCTACCATCTCAAATTTGTTTGAAAAAATTATGTTTAATCATATTTGGTCTCGCGTTTCTATTGCCATTTCTCCTTGCCAGCATGACTTCGTGCCCAGCAGGTCGTGTGAGACAAATCTAGCTTGTCTCCTGACTTCCGTTTACGAGGTTATTAATGACAAGGGGCAATGTGATATTATTTATTCCAATTTTTCTAAAGCATTTGATTTAGTTCCGCATAATTTACTTATTCTTAAATTTAAACAATATTATGGCTTTTGCCCTAATCTTTTATCATGGTTTAAAGATTTTTTAGATGGTAGACAGCAGCGAGTAGTCATTGATGGAGAGACGTCGGGTTGGCTTCCAGTCCAATCTGGCGTCCCCCAAGGTTCCATTTTAGGACCTCTTCTTTTTAATTTTAAACAGTCACAATCAGACTAATATTAATTTTAAGTTCTCAATTAAATTACCCCAGTCCCGTAGAAATTTTAATGACCTTATATTTCTTTTTAAATGTTTGACTTCTATCTTTGATTGTGAATTAGTACCTAATTTTGCCCTTCGTGTTCCTGTCCGTATTTTAAGAAATAATGATGTTCTTTACGTTCCTTTAAGTAGAGTCAATATTTTAAAAAACGGGTTTATTAGAAGATTAAGTTCCTCGTATAACAAGTTAGTTCAGGACTATCCGTCTTTATATTTATTTAACTCCAATCTGCACATTTTCCGTCGTAGCGTTTTAGGCGTGATTAGTTAAAATTAATTTTGTTTGTGTTTCTGTTTCCGTCGTCTCGTCCTTTGTTAACCATACTGTAAGTGGCGGATTTGTGTCCGCTGTTGTTTTGGTGAATAAATAAATAAATAATAAATTTATTTATTTATAGCATCATAGTACATGAATAAATACAATTTGGTTAGGTTTTATTTATTTAAGGACAGTAAATACAATCTAATAATTTGTATTTATTTATGTAAGTATTATAGTACATTTAATAACAATAACAATACAACCTAATAATAAAAATAAATTCGCATATTTCTTTATTGCATTAACTAGGCCTAATTTATTAGTTTGTATTTATTACTAAATTCACACATAGATCACCATCGTATGTTGTATTACTTTAAGTACCATACATTTAGTATCATGTACTATGTGATACTTTAAGTTTGTTGTATCAAGTGTTGTACATTTAATAACAACCTAGTAATATAGCAGTTCATTAATATATATTAATAAATATATAAATAATATATTAATAATTATTAATTTATAATACTTCAAATAAGATTGTTAATTAAGTTTAATTAGTATTACTTATTAAATTATTTATTTATTACTTATTTATTCATCATTTCTGTTTGTTGTACTTCTTTTAAGTATCACAGTACATTTACTTGAATAAAGACACTCTGGTTAGTTGGTTGGCTGTATTTATTTATTAATGTAAATAATATCGACAATTCTTGTATTTATTTACGTAAATGTATTAAGTATTATAGTACATTTAATAACAAAAATAATACAATCTAATAATAAAAGTTCACTTATTTCTTTATTGCATTAACTAGACCTAATTTATTAGGTTGTATTTATTATTAAATTCACTCATAGAGCATCATAATGTCTGTTGTATTTCTTTAAGTATCATACATTTAGTTAGTTAAATAAATACAACCCGGTTAGGTTGTACTTAATTATTAGATTGTATTTACCTAAATAAATAATTAACTAATTTATTAGATTGTTATTAAATGTACAATTCTTAATCTCTATAATACAACAAACTGATTTGTTGGGTTGTATTTATTATTAAAGTGTCATATAGTACATTAAATTAAATAAATAGAGACTAAAGGCCTGTTAATACTTGCAGCGATATCGATTAACGATAAAAAGCAATTATTCATGTAGAATACAAACGAAATAAGAGTTTTAACACTAGAACGATTCGATGACGATTTATCTTGTATACGATAGCAAAATATTTTGACAAATCAATTCAGATGAAGTCATAATCATGGAAAAACGATAAAATCGTTTGACATCTTATTCTCACTCATATGTAACTGAAATGCATATACTGACATCTGCGTGTAAATTTGAGGATTTTACAGCTAACCTCTATTTGCCACACCCTTTCACTTTGGTAGTATAGATGCAAGTAAATGCTATACTGGCTATTATTCTCATACAATTGAGTTTCCCAGTTAGCATATACCTCTACTCTTTGGCATATAGGTAATCAATGTAAGACTTCACATAGTAATTATGTAATCCTACTGAATATTAATTATACTATCAACACTAATAATAATTAATAATAAAAATAAATTATTATTACTATTATTTCTATTATTATTATTATTATTATTATTATTATTAGAATAATAGTAACAATAACAAAAATCGTCCATAACAATGATGAAGAGCAACCATCCAAACTGTCCTGACAATACTGTAGTCCACTTCAAATTATTATGGAATTATCAATCTGGTAATACACACATGAATACAATTTGAAACCAAATGTGATTGTGTAGAGCAGTAAGTCTTACAAATATTTAAAAATGTTTTGTTTTAATAACATAACCTTTTAATGTTTTCTAGACTATATGAGTCCAGATGTCACTTGTCCTGGTGATATGGCAATTAATACAGTCGCGAGCCAAGTTACGGTGAACTGGAATGACCCATTAGTTACTGACAATATTTATACCAGTCTGTCAGCTACTTGTACTCCGTCTTCTGGTTCCATATTCAGTCTTGGTTTAACTGATGTTATTTGTTCTGTAACTGATGATGCTAGTAACACAGGTTACTGTACATTTACAGTGAACGTCTTTGGTAAGTCTCCTAAGTATTATTTTTACCGCATTTATTAGTTTTGGATGAATATTCAGAATTTTAAAGAGTAATTTATGTCTGTAACCGCTCACAGGCTGTTAACGGACTAAGTTTATAGTTTTGATGGATTTGTGTACGACATAAAAAAAAACATAAAGTGACATTGTTTGGAAAATTTGTTACGGTAATATTATGACTTAGAAGACATGCAAGAAATGGCAATGGACAATCAAAATACCTAGCATTTATGCATTTGTATGGTTGTTTGTATTTTAGTTGAGGTTTTTTTTTTTTTTTTTTTTGTGACATGCAATAAAGGCTCAGGAGTTACTTCTTGAGCCGGTGCCTTGCTACCGTTATTAGCAACTTGTAAGTAGTTATAGTACTACTTGAGGAAATTTCACCTTGAAATTAATAAGCTGGTAGTAATAAAATTTTATCAATTATTAATCCTTCAATTAGCATATGAGGGTAGGCCTATATTAATATTAATATTAATACTTTTAATCCTTTAATTAGCATAATAAGGGTAGGTCTGAAATAATTTTATCAATATTATTAATCCCTTAAGTAGCATAATGATGGTAGGCCTATATTAATAATTATAATAATATTCCTTTAATTTGCATGAGAATAGGTCTATATTAATTTTTTCTTATCAATATTATTAATCCCTTAATTAGCATAATAAGTGTAGGCGTATGTTAATAATAATACTCCTTTCTAATTAGTTCTGAAAAGAACTGTTGTGATTGTCAGAATGTTAAATAATAATAATAATAATAATAATAATAAAAATTATAATATAAAACTTACTTTGGGTGATCTCATCCTGTTTTCACAACTAGTATATAGTAATGTAAATTCTTGTTCCAATGCAATGTAAATTGCTATTCCAAAAGGCGATCTTTTTTTCTACACAATTTCCTATAGTAGTGAATTAAGCGGGATTTTCAAAAAGATTGTTCCAAACACGTTGAGGCCTGACCATGGTATGATAAATAATGAAAATCCGATAGATTTGAGGGTACATGACGTATAGTGAAATTAGCCAATGAGAGACGTACCCAGACAAGTCCGGGCACATGACGTCTTAGTTAGATTAAACAATGAGCAACGTGTCCATCTAAATAAGGGCTGGTGAATAATGAAAAATCGTGATATGTACTGGTCCGTGATGTCTGAGTAACGTTTGTTTATTCTTTGTTTAAAGTAGTGTGTATGTTTTAATAACAGTTGTAAAATAATATATTTAAAATAATGGTACTGTAATAAAAAATTATAATGATGAAAATTAAAATATTCGTAAATAATGTATGTAGGAGATGTAGGAGACTTGATTGTCTTTCCATTACAACAAAAATAAACTATTATAAGTTCGTGTTACTCTACGTCAGGTGCGTTTTTATCTGTATTATTTTTTCAAACATGTCCGGAAAAACCGAATCAACTGCTACTACCAACTCGGAGGTAGGCAATGATATGGAATATAGAGGAGATATGAACTGTAATTTTTTCAAATTTGCGAAAAGATGTATAATGCATGCGATGAACATGTTTATAATTTGACAAGAGAAGTATCGCTTGATTCAAATGAGAATATTGAGACGTTTTTAAAAGACGTTTTAACAGAGATGTTTAGTGATAATACCATAAACTGGGGGCCGTATAATTATGGTGTTTGTGATTGGAGCGAAATTAGCTGTGTTATGTAAAGATAGAAACAGAACTGATTTGATTGATCAAGTAATACAGAGTGTAGACAAATTCGTGAAGACGGAATTTTTGGAATGGATTAATTTGAAAGGAGGATGGGTAAGTCACTTTTTTTTCGTGATAAAAATCGTTCATTAATAAATTCAAACTGCAATTTGTTTCTCTATATTTTATATGTACTATTTATTTATTTTATTTAGACCAATCTATTTATTTATGTATTTTCAGAAAAAATTCGATCAATCGTATACTGAACACAATAGGATTACAGAGACTCCTCTAATCAACGTTTCGCTGGGGATAGCGTCAAGTCTTGTAGCAACTTTATTTCTATTCAAAAATGTTTGTCAAGGATGATATGTGTGAAGTATACGTATGTCTCGCCTATCTAAATAGTTCTGAAAAGAACTGTTGTTGTTGAGAATGTCTCAACGTAAAATAATAGTGATAATAACTTACATTTAATGATCTTATGAGTGTTCCAGAAAGGATAGGCTGAATGATTTGTTGACTGATTACGCACAGCGGGTTTTTCAAACTGATGACGCATAGCGGGGTTTTCTCATGACAGGCGCAGTCACGTTGAAGTCTGATGAATAATGACGTATAATGAAAAGATCGAAACATGCGTTGGTACTATGACGTCTGATTGAAATCAACCAATAAGCGATGCGCGTTTAGATTACGTCTGATGAGTAGCAAAAATCCGATAGATATGCGGGCTCATGATGTCATGAGTGAAATTAACCAATGAACGATATGTTAAACTTTTTAAATGCGGGGGTATTTTTAATAATAGTAGTAAAAATAATATACATAAAATAATAGTAGTAATAAAAATGATAATAATGAAATAGTACCGGTAGTAAAAAAAAAATAATAATAACAATAATAGTAATAATGCTTGTATGAATGTGTGTTTGTTGATGGTAGTTTAGGCTCTATAAAATAGAAATTTAGGTAAGAGTATCAGACTTCTCAACTGCATCGAAATAACTTTCAACTCTCGTCTATGTGAAATACTGTTATAAATAATACCAGAATGAATTTCTATAAACCAATAGGCGATTACACCGAATCCAAGATTGTTGAGAAGGCAAACAATACTATACAACGTGTTATGCAGCCTACCGCTTCGTTTACTCCAACACTACGACCTATTATGGAGAAAAGAGAAACTGTTGTAGCATCCGAGCATATATTTCTTTCGGAAAAGAGACACGTCGTTGTTCAGCGTTGGGGTACAGATTCATTTGTCTGTATTCGTGAATATTACTAAAAAGAAGGCCGTGGAAGATATATTCCGAGCAAAAAAGGGATTAATCTTCATATCAGACAATGGTATCAAATGCTACAGAGAACGAATGAAGTCGAAGACATGTTAAGTGAAGTTTATGGAAAATTCCAAAGTCTGGTCATATATTGCAATGGGCTATTAAAATATCTTTTGGTCCTATGACTACGGAGAGACAGTTGATTGGCATTTCTAAGTTTCCTACCATGGCACTCAAATCTGGTTTTAGGGATCCAATTTTTAAAATTGACCATTAGTGAGTTGTAAAAGTCAAGGCAAATTTTCTCTCTGCGTTCTTTAAGTGTGGCTAATCCACACAGGGTGCGTGCGTTATCATAGTTATGATAACGGTGTCCTAACATAATTTTACAGGCTCTCTTCTGGATTCTTTCCAGATTCTTGGTTTGATTATCAGTGAGTTGTGAGTGCCAGGCCGGTGCAGCATATTCTGTGAGGGGTCTTATAAAGCCATTAAAGATAGCGATCAAATCTTGCAAAGGGAGATTGAAGTGTTTTAACATTTTCAACATATATAGTCTACCATAATAGCTTTAGATATAATATTAGTCATATGTACTCTCCATTTAAGATCAGAGGTGAGTTGAATGCCTAATATTCTTACTGAATCTACTACCTTAAGCGGAGTGCTACAAATAGTCAAGGGGGGATCATCAACTTGATTTTTAGAGAAGCAAATTTTCATGGTGGCACATTTACTTGGGTTGAGGTTCATGTTGTTTTCCTTACTCCATTTACCAAAGGTATCTAAATCTTCTTGTATACGACTAGGTTGATTGGGCAACTTACTTTCAACAAGTGTGATGTCATCAACATATTTAAAGGTATGGATGGAATCACTTAGTGCTTCATTAATCATTACTAAGAAGCAGAGAGGTCCTAGTTTAGTACCTTGTGGGATGCCACCATTGGTGATTTACCAATCACTACTAGTACCCTGATATTTGACACATTGTGTTCTGTCTCGTAAGAAGCATGAAATCCATGAGATAACTGAGGGGCGGACATGCATGTCAATTAGTTTGTTTATAAATACATTGTGATCAATATGATCGAAGGCTTTGCTGAAATCTGTAACCACAAGATTGCTAGACTTACCTACTTTATCTGAGTTCCTATAAAGTTCATCTAGTAACTTAACTAAATACTGAGTGGTAGACACACCTTTACGATTACCGTACTGATTGGGGTACTTATGTCCTCAAGCAACCACTTGGCCATGAAACCTTCCGCAATTTTCGCAAAATGATCAGTTTGTGCTATTGGTCTCAACTGATCCCATGATGCAGGTCTAGTTTTGGGGATGGGAATGACTGAAGCGTTCTTCCATTGGGAAGGAAGCTGGCCATCTTTATACGACTGGTTTAACATAACTCTAAGTGGTTTGCTAAGTTCATAAGCAAAATTTCTAATGAATTTAGCTGGGATATTATCCGGGCCACCAGCTTTGCCTAATTTAATTTTCATAACCTCAATATATACTTCATATTCATGAACTTCAGGGCAATGATATGGATCCGGTTTTTAAGCAGGTAAATTTGAGGGATCTAAAGGTTTGAGACCATTAGCTACTTTAACAAAATTTGTATTAATGAAGTTGGCAATACTTTTTATATCAGAGTTAACATTGTCAGGCATCTTAATATTCGTTTGAGTCTTGGTACGGTTAGTCATAACTCTAATTCGCTGGTACCACTGCGAAGGGTTGTTGTCCTTATTACGGTGCACCTTAATTGCATAGTGATCTGCCTTTGCTTTCTTGATTTCCGCAATGATCTTATTATGTAGTCGCTTCCTTTTTGGGTTATTTTTGTTGTTATAGAAAACTGTCTCTCCTTAATAAGAGATTTAATCTTGGGTGTCATCCAGGGTTTGTCATCTTGGTGTAACCTCATTGTTTTGGTTGGGAAAAAATTGTTCATAGCCGAGTATACTGTGTTGTAAAATGCGTCACTTTTTTCTTGTAAATGCGACACTTTTTTCTTGGATGGTATCCTTGTCAAAGATTTCCTTCCATTGATGACATGATAACCAAGTACCACAGGCTCGGATGTCCGAATCTTTCATTGGGCGGACGGTTTTAACCCATAAGGCATTATTCTGATTTATTATTTGTTTAGGTGTCAAAAGTATTATAGTATGATCGCTATTGCCAATTGGGCATTGTATCTCTGGGGTTGTGTAATATTGGGCAATATTAGTCAGAATCTTGTCAAGTGTAGCATCACCTCTCGTAGGGCCTGTCACAATTTGTTTAAGGTTGCATTGCGTAGAAATTAGTGATGTATCAAGGTCGTTAAAGTCACCAAGGAGTATTAAGCCGGCCTGGTGATGTTTTGTAGTGATAGAGTCAGTACTATCAATAAGGTGTTCAATCAAAGCATCTTTGTTAGGGTTATTTGGTGGTGAATAAATAATGCGAAGAAGAGTAATGAAATATTCCTTGGTAATCGATGTGGGCGTATTTTTATCCAAGCAACTTCCAAATTATCGGGA